ACCTCCTTCCCTCCCCCTTTCTCTTTCCCTTCTTCCGTCTCCACTGCTGTCCCTTCCCTCCTTATATTTTTCCTTTATAAAAAAAAAAAAGCTGGCATACAAGTCAAACTGCTATACCATATATTTGTGGACATTGATGCTGGATTAAAAATAAGTATGGGATAATCTAATCAGTGTTATGTAAGCTGACAGTGTGTAATCTATTTTAATTTGAATTAGATTGACTATTGTTTGTATATTTGTAAGAATATATGTTATCAATGAACTGGAGGGTTGTGGTATGCATCTATCTCTAACTTGGCAATCTCTTGTACCATGCAGCAGTCTCTTTTAAAGTGATGCCATTAAAGCCCAATTGAAGTCACAGAAATAGGTATGCAGTCAGATAGACATTGCATTAACAACCTCCATTTTCAGTCTTACCTCTACTTTCCTGTTACAGCAGTTGTGTGGAGAGTCTAAGTATGACTGTGCAGTCTCTAAGCACAGTGCTTGCTTTAATCACCTCTCAGTAACAGTCCTTGCCAGACACAACATTTAAGAGAGAATGGGGAGAGCAGCCCAAACCAGCATAGTGTAGTAAGTAATAAGAGTTCATTAAATAAAATGAGTGGCAATGCACACTCAAATGATAAGAATATATAGGCCATCAAGTCGTAATAATATCTGTATTTAATTTTACTCATCTCATTAATATATTTAGTTGAGCAAATGTATCCTGCTGTTTTGTGTTACTTAAATACAATATATCACTATATATACAGTATACAATGTATATTATATATATAATTGGATTCAGGTGTTTTTGTGAAATTTCCTTGCTACTAAATATTCCGCGGTTAACTGTTAGTGGTATTATAACAAAGTGGAAGCAACTGGGAACAACAGCTACTCGGCGCATGCTGAAGTGCACAGAGCGCAGAAGTCGCCAACTGTCTGCAGAGTCAATAGTTACAGACCTCCAAACTTCATGTGGCCTGTAGATTGGCACAACAACAGTGCGTAGAGAGCTTCATGGAATGGGTTTCCATGGCCGAGCAGCTGCATCCAAGTCTTACATCACCAAGTGCAATGCAAAGCGTTGGATGCAGTGGTGTAAAGCACGCCGCCACTGGACTCTAGAGAAGTGGAAATGTGTTCTCTGGAGTGACGAATCACGGTTCCCTGTCTGGCAATCCGATGGACGTGTCTGGGTTTGGCTGTGGCCAGGAGAACGGTACATGCCTGACTGTATTGTGCCAAGTGTAAAGTTTGGTGGAAGGGGGATTATGGTGTGGGGTTGTTTTTCAGGGGTTGGCTTTGGCCCCTTAGTTCCAGTGAAGTGGACTCTTAAGGCATCAGCATAATAAAACATTTTGGACAATTTCATGCTCCCAACTTTGTGGGAACAGTTTGAGGATAGCCCCTCCCTTTTCTAACATGACTGCACACTAGTGCACAAAGCAAGGTCCATAAAGACATGGATGAGCGAGTTTTGGGTGGAGGAACTTAACTGACCTTCACAGACTCCTGACCTCAACTCGATAGAACACCTTCGGGATGAACTAGAGAGGAGACCGCGAGCCAGGCCATCTTGTCCAACATCAGTACCTGACCTCACAAATGTGCTTCTGGAAGAATGGTCAAACATTTCCATAGACACACTCCTAAACCTTGTGGATGCCGTCCCAGAAGAATTGAAGTTATTATAGCAGCAAAGTGTGGGCCAACTCAATATTGAACCCTACGGACTAAGACTGGGATGCCATTAAAGTTCATATGCGTGGAAAGGCCGGAGTCCCAATACTTTTGAAAAAAACATTCGGATGACCTTGCTGAATCACGAAATTCCATTGATTTGGCGGTTCATCTGAATCTGAAATAACAAACTATTATATGACTGAATATACAAAAAATATATTCTGCCATATAGTAATTTGTTTTGTATGGGCACCGCTATCTTGCTGCGTCTAACATGCATATGATGTCGCCTCACGCCGGTGTCATGTTCCCCTCCTCCATGACGGTGGTGCGCATGTGCAGAACGCGCCAGTGGCCAATATGTTTTTTAAACATGCGCTTTTGGATTCGGAGGTTCATCGCCTCTGAATCCAAAACAGCATAATTATTTCTTTCATTAAATGAAACAAATGAAAAGGTTCTTCGTTTCGTCCGAAACCAATTTTTATGCTGTGCACATGTCAAGTGAATATACTTATTGTGCACACAGACAGCCATAAAAACATGACAGGGATTCTCATCCTTCCCCACTCTATCCAAAACGTAAAAATATTTTTAGACATACATAAACCTTTATTAATTTCCAAGAAAATAAATCAGTTGCAAATAGCAACATCCTGAGGTAAAGGACTATAAAGGATATAAATTGGTCTAGGGGCAAAAATAAAGAAGAAATACTTATCTGATCCTTGGTCCTGCAGAGGTAAGCTCTCACCACTCTCCCCCTCCGTTTCGAAATGTCCTCACATCTAATGGCCTGCAGTAGATGTGATGATGTCACAGGTCCTTAGACCACTGGAGCCCAGGGGAGAAAAGTCTGCAGGGACTGGTATAGCAGCCAGGTTCGACTAAGGATCAGGTGAGTATATCTTCTTTATTCAGGCCCAATAGACAAAAGGAGCAGTTAACCCTTGCAGGATTTTTCATTTTAAAAAAATCTTGGGGTTCTTTAAAGCAATTTGATACTTTACAAACCCCACATAACCCAACAGTTTATTACAGGCACCTTCCCGTGCTTTAACTTACCTTCCCCACTCCTATCTGTTACCCCAATCCCCACTAACACTTTTGCAAAGATTTCAGGCGAGTGTTGGCCATATCCCGATGGCCAGTACCTGTACATTGTAGGCACTCCTCCTGTCCCCTATGTTTTGGCACCCAAGCCACTGTGTAAGGGCAGAAGTGCCTAAAGGCTGGCAAGTTGTTATTTATGTGACATAATGAATGCCTTAATTCTAATGATTGTCTCTGATTCCTTGCAGGATATGAATCAACAGGCTATTACTACATACATCTGGTTCCAGATGGTAAGTCATCAATCCTTATTGTATACTACCAAACCCACAACTGCGAAATAGTTCCAGTAGTTTAAATAGTTCCTCATCTATATCTGCCCTTCCAAAGCATAATCGATAAGTAAAGCAGAGTATGTGTGTGTATTGTAAAGTAGCCACCACACCAAGCTCGCTCCTGTGATGGACTACAATCTTACATGTAGTTTGCTCATTTGTATTGAGATTGTAGTCCATCAGGGGAGTGAGTGATGACTACCTTACAACACACACAGGGACCATGGGGAAAATAAGTAGCCACCCTCCAGAAGGAAGGACAGTGTCAGCAGGAATTCAGAGATGATTTGAGGATCTACAGCTGAGTGATACACAAATAAGATTTGTGTTAATATTTAGGGTACCTAAATGTATCTTTAAGGTTTACCTCCAGAGTTTAATGTCACTTTAAATATGGGCATTAAAGGGTTAAAGCCCAACTCCAGATACAATTGTCTTCAAGTTTTGACTAGAGAGGAGATTTAATTCCTGAGTTTAGAACTCCAGGTAAAAATTGTATTAACTCTTGTAGTGGGGCCACCCCTGCACTGCAAGGGTTAAGTACTTGTTTTTGCCTAGGGTCAAAAATAAGTGCACTCACCTAAACCTTGGAGCCGGCGGCTGTGATGGCACTCTTTTCTGCCGGTCTCCTCCTCCGCTGCAGCGATGGTATGTATGTATATATACTGTGTATAGAACATGATCACCCAGGGACCTTACACTGCTGCTGCGGAGGGGGAGAGAGTTTCCATGGAAGAGCAAGCCAGCTTGGAGGATCAGGTGAGTATACCTTTTTTATTTTTGACCCTAGGCAAAAACAAGTACTTAACCCTTGCAGTGCAGGGGTAGCCCCACTGCATGGGTTAAGACAATGTATGCCTGGAGTTCTGCTTTAAGGTTATGTAGTTATATGCTGCACATACAATTTTTTAAAGTGTATGCAAAGTCAAAACCTTTTTTTGTTTTGCTTTGAATAGAGTAGGGATAGCTTTGTTATCATGCTATTTTTGCATTCTGTACACCATTAGGGATATTCTTTTCCTTCAGTTCCTTGTCCTAGAGACACAACAGGAAATTAGAGAAAATCTCCTAAAGTCAGGGGAATTCCCTTCTTAGACAGATGTCACTGGAATAGGTGTCCTCATTGAAAGAATTTCCCTCACTTTCTGTTCTGGTGACAACCCTCTCACTTATTGTCTTTGTGAGAATAGTCTCCAGGAGGGGTGAATCTCCGCAATGGGGACAAAGAGATTTACATACACTTTAAATACACTATATTGCCAAAAGTATTGGGACACCCCTCCAAATCATTGGATTCAGGTGTTCCAATCACCTCCATGGCCACGGTGTATAAAATCAAGCACATAGGCATGCAGACTGCTTCTACAATCATTTGTGAAAGAATGGGTCGCTCTCAGGAGCTAAGTGAATTCAAGCTTGGTATCGTGATAGGTTGTGCAATAAGATTGGCACAACAACAGTGCATAGAGAGCTTCATAGAATGGGTTTCCATGGCCGAGCAGCTGCATCCAAGCCTTACATCACCAAGTGCAATGCAAATTGTCGGATGCAGTGGTGTAAAGCACGCCGCCACTGGACTCTAGAGAACTGGAGACGTGTTCTCTGGAGTGACGAATCACGCTTCTCTGCCTGGCAATCCGATGGACGTGTCTGGGTTTGGTGGTCGCCAGGAGAACGGTACATGCCTGACTGCATTGTGCCAAGTGTAAAGTTTGGTGGAGGAGGGATTATGGTGTGGGCTTGTTTTTCAGGGGTTGGGCTTGGCCCCTTAGTTCCAGTGAAGGGAACTCTTAAGACATCAGCATACCAAGACATTTTGGACAATTTCATAATCCCAACTTTGTGGGAACAGTTTGGGGATGGCCCCTTCCTTTTCCAACATGACTGCGCAAAGCAAGGTCCATAAAGACATGGATGAGCGAGTTTGGGGTGGAGGAACCTGACTGGTGTGCTCAGAATCCTGACCTCAACCTGATAGAACACCCTTGGGATGAATTAGAGCGGAGAATGTGAGCCAGGCCTTCTCGTCCAACATCAGTACCTGACCTCACAAATGCACTTCTGGAAGAATGGTCAAACATTCCCATAGACACACTCCTAAACCTTGTGGACGCCTTCCCAGAAGAGTTGAAGCTGTTATAGTTGCAAAGGGTGAGCCAACTAAATATTGAACCCTACGGACTAAGATTGGGATGCCATTAAAGATCATGTCCGTGTAAAGGCAGGCGTGCCAATACTATTGGCAACATAGTGTAGATTACATGTACTTTAACAGTTGCCTTGTATTACATTTTTAAGAAAACACTTTATTCATCTTTGTGTTTTATACTCCAGACTTGGCAGCATAAGCTTATGTCGTGGGACTCTGAGAGGTTTTGTGGAATTAATAGCCTTTTCATTCCCAGCAGTAGTATCGTTTGGAAGCCTGATCTATATGTTTATGAAATGTAAGTAAAGCAACTTTATTAAAACCCTTTGTAAAAAAGGCACTGGCCAAATTAAAGCATACTGTATACTGTATGCTGTAATGTATAGAAGGTTTTAAAGTTTTGGAAATAGAAGGAAGAGGTAGAACCTCCAGTGGGTTATACAAAGTCCTCACCAGGACATGAATTGAGAGGAAATCTCCAACCTAGACAGAGAAACACATTTTACTGGCATCTCCATGACATCACACTAATGGGTTAACCCCCATTCCTTGTTTGTGTGATGCCATGGAAACAAGTCAGGAAAGGAAAAGTACGATAAGTATTTGGACATTAATTTTAATTTTTTAGTAAATTAGGGGAAGGCCAGAATCCTACTCTTTTTTTTTATTTATTATTTAGCCGTCTCTGGACCCAATGGAAATTTTTGGGGATGCACCGATACAGATACTAATATCGGTATTGGCACCGCTACCGAGCATTTGGGCGAGTACTCGAGTACCGATACCTTCCTCTGACCGGCAGTGCCGTAGGGGAGCATGGAGCCATCTTCCCGGGAAATCAGGAAGCCGGTTTCCTGATTGGTCGGGAAGTCGGCTCCATGCTGATTGGCTGGAAATCCGGCTTCCTGGCCAATCAGCATCGAGCCGGGCAAACAGCCAGCTTCTTGCTGATTGGCTGGGAAGCCGGCTTTCCCATCAATCAGTATGGTGCCGGCTTCCCTTCCCACCAGGAAACCGGGAGGCGGGTCGTTGCTCGCCACCTAGCTTCCTGATTGGCTGGGAAGCGGGCTCCATGCTGATTGGCAGGAAAGCCGCTTTTCCGGCCAATCAATCGAGCTGGCCAAACAGCATTGAGCTGGCTTCCCAGGCAATCAGGAAGCCGGGCGGCATGTCATTACCCGCCGCCCGGCTTCCTGATTGCCGGATCCATGCAAGCGGAAGCGCCAGTATTGGTACTCGAGTACCGAACGCAAAATATCGTTACTCGTACCTGATACTAAAAAAAACGGTATCAGTGCATCCCTAGAAATGTTCCCTTTCTTCCTGTCTTGGTGAGCACACTGTTACTGGTACAGGAAGTGGGGAAATCTCCACAAAAGGACCTCAGACAAGAGGTTCTTAACCTTCCCATTCTGCCCGAAACTGAAAAAAAGTGTAGGCTGGAGTTACACGTTATAATCAATCACTCAATCAATCTGTGGAGCTATAAGGCATTTCCCTTGTATTGGGATTGGCACTGGAGTACCAGTAAGCCATACCAGTGACCAGGCACCTTTTAGTTTCAGATGAAACTAACGTTTTACATCTGAATTTAAGTCTCCTTGGCTCAATTTTCACTTATTTGCATACATTTGTTTGGTATAGCGTATATTGTACTGGAATTTTCTGAGGTCAATTCACATTTTTAACATATTTTAATGAAGAGTTATATGCTTGTGTACCGCTTTTACGTAATATGCTTGGGGGGGGGAGCTTACAAGAACTTTTGACATATAAAAACATGCAGAACTACATAGCACATGCCATTCTTTTCTGTGGGGACAATGACAGGTTTTAACAGGCAAATAATCACCCTTTTTTCACACAGGAGAGTTTTGTGACCTGCCACTGTTGACAATATCTAATTTTGCTGCTTTCTTGCACTCCAGGAATAAATTGATATTGCGGAAAACTACATACCATTCCAGTTTTCCTAGGATTAGGAGATACAGTGGTACCTCGGTTCACAAACTAAATTCGTTCCACGATTCTGGTCGCAAACCGAATTGGTCGCAAACCGAATCAAGCTGTGATCAGACTGCGATCTTGACTAGAGGAAGCTACGACCATGTGTCAGAGCAGGGAAGATGGCTGCGGTTGTGTTCGTCACCCGATGCGGAGTTCGCGAACGGAAGCAACATTTTGCCGAACTTCCTGTTCGCTAACCGAATTGTTCGCGAACAGAAGCGTTCGTGAACCGAGGTACCACTGTATTTCAGACATGCAGTACCACCCTCACGTGATTTCCTTATTCCAATAGAACCATTTAGATGTAACAATTTTTTTTTTGCGGCTGCTGTTATTTATGAATGGTTGGACTGTAGTCTACCAAGCAAACTTATTTGGAGGTGGAGGTCCACGCACGTTTTCTGTGCTGTATTCAGGGTAGACATGTGCGATTCGTTTAGTTCCGAATCGAAATTCAGACGAAATTTCGGAAATTCGGATGCATCCAAATTCCGAATTACAGCTAAAACGAATGCAAACGAATCCGAATACCCGATTTCCCGAAATTCGTTAGCGGTAGAAATTTCGGAAATTCGGATGCATCCAAATTCCGAATTACAGCTAAAACGAATGCAAACGAATCCGAATACCCGATTTCCCGAAATTCGCTAGCGGTAGAAATTTCGTTAGCAGCAAAGTGACATTAGAAAAAATATATATATATATTTTTTTTTTTTTACAGTCTGCAGAAGATGAAAAAAGTCTGCAGAAGATGAAATTCGTTAGCGGTAGTCCAGTTGAAATTTAGTTTATTAATTTTGCGTTTCAGTTTGGGCACTGGGGTTAAAAAACATTAGCCATCACTGCTCTATAGCATGCCCCTTTGCTCCTCCGCCGACAGCTACATAGGCTGTAGGGTTGTGAGGTATAGGGCGGCAGAGCTGGTCCAGCACAGACAGTAGTCAAGCACTCCTAAAAGAGGAATTGATTAGCCAAATGTGCTAGCAAGTTCACACTTCATTCATTCCATTTCACACTTCAGCAGTTTGAGTTACAGCAAATCCTTATAGTTTGAATGTGTATATATAGTCTCAGTATAAATGTTTTTTATGTATGACTGCATATAAATATGTTCATGCCAAAATGATTATGGATTATTAATGTGTTGAATGTGTGCATACATTACCTCTCAAAAGTCACTTCAGAGTGTCCATACCAAGTGTAGACGTGGCCAAAAGGTTATCTCCCATTCTCTCCCGGTGTGGCTGCTTTCATCTAGATCAGGCAATAACTTTGTTGATTTAAAACTCCAGACACCCAAACCAACAGAGCTTTTGGGAAAAAGGATTCTTTTGCAAAAATCGTCACAACTTCTGTCTTGGTTAGCCAGTGTTGGACACCTCCTCCATGACCTCTCAATAGCAAATGAGAACAGTTAATCATGCATGTTTGTGGGTCTGCCATCCTAAAGATGATCTGATGAACTTCTGGATCATGCCTGCTCCTCCAATAACCCTGTAGTGTCCATAAGAGCTGAAAACAATGGCATTGCTAAAAATAACTAATGACAACTAACACCAAGGTTGTAGCCATATGGTCAGTACTGCAGAGACCAGATCAACGGGAATGTCTGCTACACTCTGTAGCTACCTATAGACATGTGCATACAGTAGTTGCCCATTTTAACTAAAATATTAACAATTAGGGGGTGATCATCTCATTGTTTGTGGGTAATTGTACAGATATACTCTTGCTTTAGAATGTTTAGCTTTATGGCACAATTAATGGCATAAAAACACCTGTGAAGATCCATGTAACTGATTCTATGTTGTATCACATAGGACTGAAAGTGATCAAAAACCTTCAGTGATTTCATATTTCAACATGAAAAATGATGGAGCCATCAGCAACTCATTTCCTTTAAGAGTCGTCAGTACCTGCAAACTGTATTTATATAAGTTCCCATTTGACACTCAAACCTGTACGATGACCTTTAGATCATATCTTTATACAGGTATGCAAGAAACATTTAAAGAACAGTGTAATCCTGTAGGCCAGACCCGGGCATTTTACGTTCCACAGACTGTATCCAGTCCTTTGTCTGTCCCTGTCTGAACCGCAGTCTGGACACAGACTGATCGCGGACCTGCGCTCAGTTATGGCTTGCTGACAGCGAATGTGCTGGCCTCCAAGGCCAGCACATCCGCTGCATGCCATAGCCCAGTGCAAGTCGGTGATTGGCCAATATCTGGACCGCGGTCCTCTTCAATCCTTGGTTGCTAGGACTGCTGCCGTCCTAGCAATCAATGACGTCAGGGGTCCTCCTCATAGGTGTGAACGGGCCCTTACTCCAACAGTACAATATTTATTACCCTCCACAACAGTCCCAGTTTCTCATGTGGCCCCTTGTGACAATGTAGCTGATAGAAAGCTGTGTATCCATTGCCACAGAGTATCAAACTTTCTGGGACTTTATGAAACCCACCTAAGGGTGACGTTTTTCTGTAGATGAGGAATTATGCTTGTAGAAAAGTATATATGAATTATTCTTGTAAAGAAGTATATACTTATATATATATTTTAAAGCACCTTGGGTGATTTTTTTTTTCATATTAACTTCCTCCAGTTAAAGAACTCGTTATGCTGGCCAAGTCTGATTCATACAGAGTCTTAAAAAATTCACAGGAAGTGTTTTCTAGTAAAGGAGAGTGGAGCCTTTTAAATATCACGGTACAGAATGAAACCTATGGCTTCCTGGATAACGCATACAGCGTAGTAATTTATAAGGTAAAATATAGATGAAAAGCTTGATGTGTGCTAATGTAATGCAATCATGGAAAAGTTGTATCACTGCTGTGACAAACCAAACACCCCCGTTTGTCTTGTTGAATTGTTCTTTTGTAGTATAATCTCTGTCCCCTAAGCCAGCCGTTGGTATTGAGGGTGCCCTACCCTGGGATGCCCTCTGACTTCCTCAGGGGTGCCTCGAAATTTTCACACAATGTCATGCCTCTGGAGTGAAGAGGGATCCTGATGTGAAAGATGAGGACTCTGGTGTGAAGCAGAAGGCTTCTGATGTGAAGAAGGGCTCCTAGTATGAGAGCGGGACTCCTGATGTGAAGGGGAGATTCTGATGTAAAAGAGGGCTTCTGATATGATGGGGACCCCCTTTTTTTCTGTGTTTCACTATTTTGGATAAGGCCCTTGTATAGATTCTGGAGGGACCACACATAATGTTCTACATTTACATTTTAGACTGGAGTGCCTCAAAGTTTTGCATACTTTTAAAGGATGTAGTGACTGAAAAAACGGTTGGAAAACGCTGCTCTGTACTACTGTTCTCTATGTTAGATCCGTAAATACATATTTAAAGTACACCTATAGCCAGGCTATTTATATGAAAGTATTTACATATTATAAACAAGTAAAATAGCTTTAAATCAAGCCATCTCTAACCTCTCAAACTCAGGGATTGGCAACAGGTCGATTGTGATCTATCCGTCAATTACGGGCATGTGAATGGTAGATTGTTACGCTGCCACCTGGGGCACATACACAGCATCTCTTGACTGTTGCCGTAGGTGTTGCTGCTGCTGCCACCAATGTTCTCTGGTGCTGTGACTGCCCAGTATGCTTCTTCTGGGCAGCCACACATCTGTACACACATGTGGACAGCGACCTTAAACAGTGCACAACCCATCATGCTGCTCCTTCTCAGGACTGCCACCTTCACGTTTAAATGCTGGCAGGAATGGGGCCAAGGAACTGAGCAACTGAAGAGGCTGGAGGCACAGCCAGCCATGCTAGTAGAGGGAAAGGTAAGTGACGACTGGTGTGTGTGTGTGTGTGTTTGTTTGTGAGTGTATGTATGTGGGTGGGTGTGTGTATGTATGTGAGTGTCTGCATGTGGGTGTGTTTTTGTTGTTGTAATGCTTCATAGGGGGTACTTCTGTGCTATGAATAAGGGGGGTTGAACTAATCATAGGGGTCTCTTTGCACAAGGGTGTATATACTCCTGACCCCTGCACCATGTACATTATATACTCCTGACTCCTACACTCTGCTTTCTAGGCTGTACGTTACTTATTCTCCAGACGCCTGCACTCTGTACGTTGGTCACTCAAGATCCCTGCACTCTGTACATTACACACTTCTGACCCCTCCACTATGTATGCTATATACTCCTGACCTGTGTACTTTGTACACAACACACTCCTGATCCTCGCTCTCTGTACATTACACAATTCTGACACCTGCACTCTGTATGTTATATACTCCTAACCCCTGCACTCTGTTAATTAGATACTCCTGACCCCTGTACTTTGTACATAATGCACTCTTGACTTCTGCACTCTGTACATAACCGCTGCATCAGAATTTAGTTGGGTTCCATTTAGTTTGTAAGACCTCATTAACAAGGGCTACAAGTGCCAACATGTGGCAAGAGTCCACAGATTCATTCCACATGTTTCCACTTTTAGTCTATTTGAATGAGGCCTGACAGCTTAGAAACATCCTGCTGAGTGCTAATATTGGAGGGCTAGCAGCATGCTAGCTTCTGTTTCCATTTTAACAGAACAGGTAATCGGCCGAACGATCAGACAGGGAGTAACTGTAACTTTTAGTTAATTAGACTGGTGCAACTTTAAAAGCAATACTTCAAAAACAGGTTCGGAAAGGCAAAAAACATGCATACACTGCATATTCTGATTATGAAAGCTACACAAACATAGACTCTTCACAGCAATATCTCTGTGGCTCAATCAGGGTAACATGCGGTTGCAAAGCATAGTCCTAAGACTCTATTGGGAATTGGGAGGGTGCTACCCACAGTAGCTGTGTCCTCCATAGAAGCTATTGGGCTCCTTCACAGCTACCCACATGCCGAATTTGACATCCTCTCACCTAACTGCAGACCACTTGCCCAGTTCCCTCTGCCCCATCAAGTGTGGCCTCTCTTAAGTGTCTAAAGGGAAGGTGAGGGATTTATACTCATTTGGCATGTCCAAGAACCCAGGGAGTTGTAGGAAATGGAGTAAAAGGGGCTTGTGTCTGCATCTGAGTATGATGATTAAATGTGCACTCAGCTAAACCATACAAGGTAAAGTTGTAAAGGTAAACAGAAGTTGTGATTTCAGTGCCTTTGTTCTGAACTTTGAGGCCCCATTTACACTACTGCAATGTGGTAATGCGATGCTGTAATAAGACACATTACGTGAATTGGTGTACTACAGTGTCATTAAATGTAAATATCACCCCAACACACCTTCCTAATGCACCAGCGTTGCAGCGCACTGTAATGCACAGTAACTCATTGTCGTGCGTTGGGGTAAGCTGTGCTAAAGAAAATGTTGCAGGAAAGATTTTTGGTGCATTGTGATGCATATGCCAGCCCATTAAAATGAATGGGCTGCCTTAGAGCAATGCATGTTATTGCGCAATATAACATGATTTATTACAATGCATTAAACGCATCTGAATTTCTCCACACTTTCTCCACAATTTCTCCACAATGCCTATAGCAACAGTGGTGAGTGAGGGCATGATTTAAGGTGCTTTCACAACTTGTTCAGAATACAGTATGTACAAGCCCAATTCCAAAAAAGTTGGGACGCCATGTAAAATCTACATAAAAACAGAATGCAATGATCTGCAAATCTTATAAACTCATATTATATTCACAATAGAAAACAAAATCAAATGTTTAAACCGAGAAAATGTACCATTAAACAAAAAAAAAAAGGTAATTGTGAAATTGATGGCAGTAACACTTCTCAAAAAAGTTGGGACAGGGCAACAAAAAGCTGGCAAAGTGGTACTAGCAAGGAAGAACCGGAAGAACATTTTGCAACTAATTAGGTTAATTGGCAACAGGGCAGTAACATAATTAGGTATAAAAAGAGCATCTTAGAGAGTCGGAGTGTCTCAGAAATAAAGATGGGCAGAGGCAGAGGTTCACCAATCTGTTAAAAGCTGGGTCTAAAAATTGTTCAACAATATCAGAATAATGTTCCTCAATATAATATTGCCAAGACTTTAAATATAATATCATCTACAGTACATACAGTGGCGGAACTATTAACCAAAGGGCCCTGGTGCAAGATTTTATCTTGAGCCCCCCTCCCAAGACGGGGGCTGGGGGGGGGGGGGGAGCGCATCACACTGCCCCCCCCCAGCGGTCTCTAATGTTGCAGTAGAGTGCTGGACTTGCCTGAGACCCTGCAGAGTACACCATAGATCCTGCATAGACCACCTGAGACTCTCTATTGTGGGCTCTGCAGGATCCCAGGTGGGCTGGTCGCCGGTGCCACCCAGGACTGGACCCCACTGGGCCCCCCCACAGCCTCAGGCCCCGGTGCCCCGGCACCGCCTGCACCAGCGGTAGTTCCGCTACTGAGTACATAATATCATCAAAAGTTTCAGAGAATCTGGAGAAATTCAGAAAACAGTTCAGTAACATGATTGGGTATAAAAAGAGCATCTTGGAGAGTCAGAGTGTCTCAGAAATAAAGATAGGCAGAGGTTCACCAATCTGTTAAAAGCTGGGTCTAAAAATTGTTCAACAATATCAGAATAATGTTCCTCAATGTAATATTGCAAAGGCTTTAAATATAATATAATCTACAGTACATAATATCATCAAAAGATTCAGAGAATCTGGAGAAATCTCTGTGTGCAAGGGACAAAGCTGAAACGCAATATTGGTTGCCGTGATCTCAGACGGCACTGCATTAATAAACGGGCATAATTCTGTGATGGACATCACTGCATGGGCTCAGGAAATCACTGTCTGTGGACACAGCTCCCTGTGCCATTCAAAAATACAAGTTAAAGCTCTATCATACAAAGAAGAAGCCATATCTGAACATGATCCAGAAACACCGCCATCTTCTCTGGGTCATAGCTCATTTAAAATGGTCTGTTGAAAGTGGAAAACTGTTCTGTGGTCACAGTGTTTTACACAGTGTCCCAACTGTTTTGGAATTGGGGTTGTAAAAACATAAGTGCGCATAGTCTGGCCACAGGTTCACTTTAAATTGTAACACACCAAAGTATGTCTTCATACCTCTCCATTGATATAAAATAAGATAATATAACTTTATTTTTATTACTACAATTTGGAATAAATGTAACGCCAAACGTCTTGGAGAAAACTGTTCAGTATGTTTTAATTATTGAATGCAATGTTACAGTTGTTCATAGTCGTTCATTATTTTACAGTAATACCCTTCAGCTATAAATTTCCAGCTAGATATTTTTTTGTACGCGTGTCTTTTTCAGGCTCTCATCTTTTTCACTTTTTCTTTCAAGATTACAATAAAAAGAGCCCCTGCCATCTACATAATCAACCTCATCATCCCAGCCTGCTTCCTGGTTATCTTAGACATCCACAGTATGTTCATTCAGTCATATAAGTCAAGACTTACCTTCAAAATCAATGTCATTCTGGGGTTCTCTGTGCTCCTGCTGATCCTGAACAATATGTTACCCCCTTCTGATAGCCTACCTATGTTAGGTATGTAATCACTTATAGATCTTCATATCACACTGTGTAATTAAAAAATGCACCATGAAGAATTACCTGCATTGAATGTTTGGTGAATGCCACATTCACTGCTTTATACATTTATTACTAAGAGTATAGAGCCTAATTAACTGATCATAAGGATTTCCTAGTATTTTAGACATATTTGTACTGTTTTGGGAATCCACTTACTGATATATATCATTTGCATTTATTGGAAGTAATTAATATATATATTATACTAGTCCAGGCCAGAGGTTTTATTTAATTTAACAGTCTCGTCTCCTCTTTTGTTTTTGTACAGGTATTTTCTGCTGTGTTTGCATAGCAATGATGGTTCTTAGTATAATTGGAACTATTCTTTCTTTTTACTTGCTGGAGCACTCTGCTACCCCTCAACATGTTTCACCATGGCTGAAAACACTTGTTTTAAAGTACATGGCACGAGCACTGTGTTTTAAGAAAGAATTTTATTCAGAAAAGTTGACCAAGAGTGGAACTCTGGATAAAGGTTTGTGTCCAATGTAAGGTACATATTAATGTTACTGATATTTAAGTAACTTTTTATTAATTTTCCTTGCTCCTTGGTTTAGAGACACAGACAAAGGACAGTGGTGAAGTACAACGGAAGAAGGATTTACAGGAAAAGGACAGCCTAGAGGTAAAGCTGTTGAAGAGAATGCTGATAGAAATCCTTAGGATCCAAGAGAGGTTTACTCTCGCTAAGAGCGAAGAAGATGCCAAGTCAGAATGGTTCAAAGTTGCCAAAGTCATTGACAGGATGGTTCTCATTTTGTACCTTCTTGCTGTGATGACAGTGCTTATCATTCTTATCTATGCTTGGGCAAAGTGAAATACATGAATGCATATCAAGGAGATCCAGTCCCATAAATCATTGGACACTGGGTTACCTGCTCCTCTACCTATCCTGCAGCCCATAGACTATGTTTACCAGCAATTACTTTTCTTGTTGAGACTTGTTCTCCAGCACATAGGAAAAACATTCTGCTCTTGTGTAAAATGATACTCGTAGAACAGTGTCTTCTATGTCAATGAGAGTATTAGGATATGGCAATGTTATTATTGCTTCATTGTAGCTACCCTGGTTCATTCATAGCAGATTGCAGGGGTAATCTCTGATGTGTATTATGTCAGTTAAAGAAACCTTGCAAGTTAAAAAAGTTATATTTATATATATATATTTTGCAGAGGGGAAAGGGATTGCAGGGATTTAAAGTTGCCCTAGGCAGTGAAGGTTCCCTTTAATATTCCAGTGGCCTATATCACCAACCATACAATAGTAGATAGACAAGGGAGGGTCAGGTAACGAGGAGGCATAAGAACTGGAGCCATATTACTTATGGTTGGTAATATTGAGTATGCTGGTGATATGGCAAAGTACATATTACCAACTTAACATAAGTAATATGGCTCCAGTTCTTATGCTTTCTCATTACCTGACCCTCCCTTGTCTATATACTATCAAAATCTGTCAAGATGGGTACATTTCCTGTTAAGTGTTCTGTACTTCTATACGATGAGGAATGTTTAACTTTATTTTTTTATGTGTTCAATGTGTAACGTCAAGCATTAATTACATTGCATAGAATGTTTACAAGAGTATGCGTGATTGCTTTAAAAAGTAAACCAAAAAGAACAGCAAAAAATATTGGGGAACTCTTAGCAGCACTGTTTTCTAGACTTTTTTCTGCATTAAAGAAAAAACAGTCAAATGTTTGTGTGCATTTGTTTTAGCATAAGCGTGTGGTCACAATATGCAAATCCCTTTTGTACCCTACTGAAATCTATGAAAAAGACATTTTAAACCTCTTGTGACAAGGGAGAATAATCCAAATTCTCCTGCTAACACTTTTTGTCTACCTTAAAAAATTATTTAATTAAAAGAAAAAAACTTCACAGCAATGAGCAACTGTTGAGGAAAAAACACTTTGGTCAGGACTATATAATACATAGTGTATATATTGCAGGAACCAGGGCTATGTAAGGACAATACAGTGTACAACATAGTCTATGGGTGCAGCAGTAAGAAGTATGTGTAATGGTTGGTGAGAGGAAAAGATCCCATAGTGTCAGTTGTGGGGGGAAAAGCCTGTATTCAGTGTGTGTTTGTTAGGTAGGTGGGGTGCCCTGGAATCAGTGGTCCCTGGTAAAATGATTCACTGGGATCAGTGGGAGAAAAAAATGCCCAGTGTTTGATCAGTGGGAGAAAGGTCCTTGAGAGGTCAGTGGTCAGGGGGGAGAAAAAAGATGCATGATGCATTTGTACCAGCAGGGCAGGGTGAGGGTGCAACATTATTTCTTGGGGGGAGAACAGTAGTGTCTAAAAAGGGGTGGGGAGGAATAATAGTGCCCAGTGGGGGGTAGGATAAACATCGGTGACACACATTGGTGTTGCAGAGAAATCTGTGTCCCACACTGCTACACCCTCCTTTGAAATTTTATTGCCACAAATATACAGATAAATACCACAAATTCAACAAATGTACACATAGCTCTAATGCACAGAATCTGCAAAGAGATCGAGCCAGGTGCTGGAACAAGAGTTCCAGCAGCCAATTTTGGGAAATAGCCCAGATCTGCAGGGATGTGTGAAAACCCTGGGACATTTCTGAGGAATCCAGGTTGGTTGGGGTAAGGGGGGGTTATGGCTAAGCAACTGTGTATTCACATAGATAAGAGATGAAGAGATGTACACAGAAAGTTTGCACATTCAATACACATAGCTCCCACAGGATTGTGATCTGCTTTTCTACCCACACAAGTCAATTTAAATCTGGTGGTTTTATCTAAAGTGGGGAAAATGCCCCTTATATTAGTGTTATGTGGCTAGAATATGCTGCTATATTGGTGGTCATTGGAAAGAATGTCCCTCACACTAGTGGCCAGTAGGAAGATTGGCCACTTCCATTATTGGTCAGTGAGAGAAGCTTAACCCCTTCATGACTGAGCTAGTTTTCAGTTTCTGTTCATAAATGACTGACACACTTTTTACATTATTGCTGTGTGATTCTTCCACAGCAGTAATATACTTTCTTACTAAACGTACCCACACATATTATATATTTTTTTTTCAGAGGACAGGTAGGGCTATATAATTATATCACATATGTGTACCTAACCCCTCACTTAGTTTGAATAAAATAAAAAAATGAGGATACAAACTAGAAGAAAACGATTTTTTCACAAGTTTTGATTATTATTATTTTTTTAGAATTTTTTATATTAATTATAGTATACAAAATATATTGATATATCATTTTTATTTTCCTAATTTTGTTTTACACTTTAAATTTTTTTACACTTTGTAAACATTTTTTTTTTTTAAACACCTTTTTTTCTTGTCAGTTTATATCAAGCAGTCACTATGACTGCTTGATAAATTAACTTTTTTTCAATTCTTTGGCTATTAGGCTGATCCAAACTTAGGAACAGCTAATAATAACCTTAGAGACTGATCCTGACTTTAGTCAGATTCAGATCTCCCTAAAAGCTCTTTGATCGTGCCTAGACGATCAGAACTGATACATTTCACTCAAATGATACATTGTATCTTTTGAGTGAAATGTATCTAAACATCGGGCTCTCGAGCTGTCAAAACAAATAGCAGAGAGGTGAGG